CTTTGCCCCACAGCCATCATGGTGCATTCTCTCCTGGTTACACCCAGTAGCATTTTGCTGTTGAATCCATAAATTAATCACAGAATCCCAGACTGGTTTATGTTGGGAGGGTCAGGGACAGCTTCCACTAGCCCAGGTTGTTCCAAGTTGTGTCCAACCTGTCCCTGGACACTTCCAGGGATGGGGCAACCTGTGCCAGGGCCTCCCACCCTCACTGTGTTTTCCTGAATCCCTGTCTCAGCTGATTGTCCTGCTACATCAGGAATGTGATCTTACATTGGAATGGCCAGTATGAATTTATTTAACGTATAATTTTTTGCTTTACTAAATAAATATTACAGCCTCTATGGGCCCATCTTGAATTACTGAAACAGCTGTTCTATAACTTGTTACCATTTTAACTGCCCAATCTTTGCAGCATGGAGATCAAAATACAAAGTGTAAAGTTCTCACCGTGGGACTGAGGTGGCAGCCCTTAATGGAAAGGGAGGTTGGAAATGCTGCAGCTCTTTAGTGCAGCTGCATGGGGGTGAAGCTCTGGCAGGTGATGATCGTTATGCAATTGTACTGGCAGGAGCAATTAGAGATTTACAAGGGCTTGTAAATGCTGCTATTTATAGGTTGGACACTTTATTTAACAAAATGCTAATCTTTTCTGTAGTGGGAGGAAATGTCAGAGTGGAGTCTGTCATGCTTGGGTTGGGACTGGACTCTATAATGTCCAAAAGAACAGCACTTAGTTCTTTTTGTAAAAGAGAAGAATTAGAGGTTTCCAAGAGACTTGGACATGGGAAATGGAGGAAGGATATTTTGAATTTTGCAATATTTTGGAATTCTAGTATTAATGATCTGTGGTGCTTTGCAGATCTATCTGGCTTGTGAGATTTGGAATATGTAGTTTTAATTCTCAGCCTTCTAGTTTTCTTTATTGAGAAGCAGAACTGAGTTACTGTGGAAAAGATAATTTAAATGCATTTTATTAGCTGTTTTTACTTTGCGAATAAACTTGTCCTCACAAATTAAAAATTAGAGCCATTATGAAAGTATTTTTGATAATCTCTCCCTTTAAGAGACCCTGAATGTCCTCTTAAATACTACTGATGGATCCCACTGCAGCAAATAATAATGTGAATGAGGCTTAAACCCAAAAATAGAAAAAGCCTACTTTTTTACTGAATTAGTTTCACAATCTACTTGGTTATGAAAGTTTCAAAATAAGGTTTTTTGTGTTATTTTTTTGCGCTGTAGTAAGTTATGTTCTTGTCAGCACTGACACTCATACGTGCACAGTAAGTGATAGGATCTGCTCTGTTAATTCTTATTTAATCCAATCAGCACCTCTCCAAGTGCAGGAAGGAGGATTTCTGGGGAGAACGGGCAGGGATTGCTGCAGACTGACCCCAGGGTTTGGTCAGTGGGGACAGGAAGGAGAAAGGAGAGAAGAGAAATGTTTGTAAAGACTGAATCCTTTTAGACAGTAGGGCAACCTTTTGTAGAAGAAATGAAATAAACCTTGGTTTATGGTCATTGCTCCCAGGAGCTCCTGTGGCTTGTTGGGCCAGGGGAATGTACAGAATCATGGAATCCCAGACTGGTTTGGGCTGGAAGAGTCTTTAGAGATCATCCAGTCCCAACCTCCCAGCCACAGTCATGGACAAAGCCATGTTTTCAGGAGCTGATAATATATGTTGTTATACAAACTTCTTCCTGTATCTACACAATAAGGGAGTAAATTTTTTATATTGGAAGCAGATTTGCTGATAATGTTGTATATAAAGAAGAAAAACTTCGTGTTTATGAGGTGATTTTCTGTGGAGTATTTTTAGTGGGTATTCGCTGCTGGAGCCAGGCTTTCTGCTTGATCTCCATGTCATAAACATATTTGGTTTTGTTTTTTTGTTTGTTTGGGTTTTTTAATAGCAGAGACATTTTCTTAGTGGAATTTTTATGCTTTCCACCCTTAGAGAAGACAGATGGACTTGTTTATCTGCTGCAAGGTTCGGGGCCAGATTATAGATGATTTTGCTTTGTGTCATTTAAAACATTCTTGTTTCTGAGCAAGGAAGTTGGCAATGGTCACGTGATTCATGGTGGAAAAATTATCTGCAGGCTGTTGCTGTTGCCTTAATAGGCTTAAAGGAATTAGCAGTGATGTAAATAATAGTTGAGTGTGTGGTGGGTGGGCAAGTGCCAAAGCGAGGGCGTGTTTGGGGTGCAGCCCATCCCAAATGATCTGCAAAAATAACCCTGAGAAGCGAATAATCCATTCTGATTTCTTACAAGGAAATTGTTGATAATTTTTGTAATGATCTTTAATTAAAAATGCAGGCAGCACCTGAGGACATTAAGATCTGGAGGGACCTGGAGCGGTGTTGGCATTTGCATCTCTGTGACACCCTGTGGTGGCTCAGCTTGGCCCAGGAGAAAAAAACCATCCCAGTCGCAGGTGTTTGGAAGCTGAGGAAGAGAAGCAGCAGGGGAGAGCCAGGCCTTCATATGCCAGCCTTTCTGATAAAAGCAGGAGGATTTCAAGAGACACTTGAGTGCCATTTATAATTTCATTTGTGTGCAGAATGCGCCTGCCACAGCCAAGGGGAGCGTGGGCACTGCTTGGGAGGCACGGAGAGAAACAGTGCCCAGAAATGGGGATAAGGTGCCCAGAAACAGGGACAAGGTGGCTTTGAGGCTCTGCCACACGGGATGGGGACATGCAGGGGCAGCATGGCCAGCTCGGCTGACTGTCCCTGGGCAGAGGAGGTAAGGGAGGCAATGACATGGTGTAGCTGATGCTGAGGGATTTACAACTGTAGTAGTACGATTACAGCAGTATGACTAAATATTAATAGCCTCTGAAATCCTCCTGCAGTTCAGTTTACAGTTGATCTTTATAAATTGCCCCAAATTTTGTACGTTGCCAAGTGGACTAGAGGTATTTTATTAAGAAAGAAACAGGTTTATCTAAAACAAGATATGTTTCAAAACTGAGACACAGTGTCTGGTGTATGTTACACTTGGCATTGATGACATGATTCCTCTTTATCAAGTGTACTTGTATTAAGGAGCTTTATCATTTTCAAAGTTGAGTGATTATTTTTCCACTAAATTTTTGTTCTTTTTCAAATACTTGTCTGTTTGGAGCCACATATCTGTTGTAGGGTATCTGAATTTAAAACATGAAAACTGACTTGGCTAGATTATGTAGGGGGAACATGGAGTCCTGTAAAGCTGGAGTATAATGAAACTGAGGAAGGGGTAAATTTTGTGTTAGGAGTATTGGCTGGAGAAGCAAGTATCTGAATTTAAAACATGAAAACTGACTTGGGTAGGTTATGTAGGGGAAAATAGGATCCTGTAATGCTGGAATATAATGAAACTAAGAAAGGGGTAAATTTTGTGTTAGGAATATTGGCTGGAGAAGCAAGTTGTACTCTGTTACCAGGGATTAGGTCCCACATTATAAATTCACTGCCCTGCGTTCCATTGAGGATCAAGTTTTAGTCCATTTAAGAAGCTCTCTGCCCCCTTCTTCTTTTCCAGAGAAACAGGGACTACAGAATGATAGGAGAGAATTTATTCTCAGCTACTGCAAGACCGATGCTGTTTTCACAGCTGAATTTTTCCCTTTGCAATTTTGCCTGTGAGCATCAGCCTCATTCCAACAAGTTTCCTTTTACAGCACCTCCCAAACCTTTGCATCCTTGGAATGTGAGAGCATTTTAATCGGATTTTGATGGTGTTTCTTAGAGCAAGGAGTGGGAGAGGGAGGAAGATTTCATGGAGATGTGTGAGATGGTGGAAGGGGCAGATTGATGTGGATAAGCTGATTGGGTTAGTGGCTATTTTGGAAAGAGGAGGTCATGGACTTGGGAGGAGGGAGATGGCATCAAGGATAAGTGGTTGAGACAGAACTCCAAGTGGATTGGAAGATGAAAGGGAACGGACAAGGTGAGGGGAGTTCATTCTCCTGCCTGAGAGAGGGAGCACAAGCAGGGACAAAAATAAATCTCTGCAACTTCAGTGCCAGTGTGGGCTAAGTCTGGTCAAGGGAAACTGAAGGTGAAATAACCCCTTCTCCAGACTGCAGACTCAGGACGGCAAGATTCTGGTTGGGTTTTTTAAATAATCACAAGCAGGAAGCTCCATATTCCACAGAATCTACAAATAAGTTTATTTGCATGGTAAATTCACACCAATATAGGGTCCAGTGAGTGGAGTCCAAAACTGCCCCTTCAGAGGCTGCCCAAAAGAGACAAGAGGGTGGCAACACAAATTTGGGCCCCTGGTTATGAAGTACAGTGTGAGTTTTCTAAAAATGAAGAGTATGACAGCTTTTGAAGGAAAAAAATAATCTAACCTTACATAGCTGCCTGCATCTGCTACGAGTTTAAATATACTTCTGTAAGGAAAGATTCAGGTTACTTCTTGTAGCTGAAATTCTAATTACTGCTGGTTTTCCCACTTCTCTGCAGTAAGAATATAATTAAAGCCAAAGCTCTTCTCCTGCCTTTGCTAGCCAGATACAAAACTGCTTTGTCATGGTAAAAGTTCCATTTTGATGGAAAATCAGCCGTTTGCAGGTCAGCTGCTCAGGTGGCACTTCACAGACTGCTGCCCCAGAAAAGAGCTTTACAATAGAAAGTAAATTACAGTAATTGAGATTACAGTAATGCAAAGCTCTGTGTTTAACCAGTGATTGACAGCACTTGAATATGCAAACAGTCTTACCTAAATGTGGTTTTAACTGTTCAGATTTGTTGTGTCTGTTGTGCAGTTTGAGTTATTCCCCCTTCACCTTTCAGTTGCACCTTTAAGTGGTAATTTCTTGTAGATTCTTTAATGGCTGTTTGAAAAATAAACATTCTTCTGCTTTTTACAGTTGCATGAGGTCATTTTTGCTTGGGTACCAGCTTTTTCTCCTTAGAGTGCTCTGGATTTTTGTCCCACATGGCATTGTCTGGGTATGTGCCGCACCTGAATTGGAATATTTTGCTTATTTGCAGGTGAGGTCTGGGCAGTGTCTCTGGAGTGATCACATTCCCTGTCCTTAATGTGCCCTTGGTGACAAAGCTTGTGTTGTCACTATGAGAAAAGATTCAGGCCCTATGGATTGGATGCAGCGGCAAATTATGGTAAGTGGGAGCCTGGAAATTTGTAGGATATGTTTATTTCCATTGTATTTGGTTGTTGGGCCAAGCTAGTAAATGATGGTGTTTCTTGTTTTTTAGAGAAGGAACACTGTGTCTTTCAGTGTGATATCCTCTGGGATCAGCATATCTGAAAGGCACCTTAATCTGAGTTTGCTTCCTTGTGAATTTATGTGAGAATGATGTTATTTGATGTTCATGCTGACTCTACATCAATACTTGCATTTTTCTCTCCTTTTTTTTTGCAGATTCTTTTTCCTTGCTGGAGTTTTTCAGTTCTGTTGAATGTGTAATTCCAACTATGGCAACAAGAGTAGAAATAAATTCTACTTTGGCGTCTTTGACGGCAGTCCCTGACCTGGCTGAGCTCAGGGCTGAGGAGAAGGCACAGCGTGTGTATGTCAGTGTGCTTTCAGATGCCAGCAACAAGGCAAAGGAGGCCTCAGCATCCCTGACTCTCGAAGAGAACAAGAAATTTGGGAATTCCTTGAGATCTGCAACGATGCCCTCGCTGGGATCAAGGCCGAGACTTTTCCCGAAGCCTTTTTGTAAAGAGAAATCCTCGGATACTTTTGCAAACGTCAAACCGCCCGTGCCAGCCTTCAGATCCAGCAGCATGGTGAGAAAGACCACTGAGGAAACGTCGTCTGTGAGGGTGTTGAGTGGCAGTGTCCCTCCCTTAGTGGATCAGAAAGCCATTGGCACCGAAAATCAGGCTGGCAGTGACCTGGTGACAAACGTGACTTTCTACACGGGGCCCAGTGCCAACACAGTCATTCTGTTTGAGCCAGGGGGCCCCGAGCAGACCAAGGTCAGCCTGGCCCAGGAGAAAAAAGCTCCGGAGCGCAGGGGATTCACTGCTCTGCAAAGCAAGGACCTGCAGGGCTCTGGGAAAGCAGCAGACACAGCCAGGAGTCCTGATGGGGCTCTCCATAGGCATGTGTCGTTCTCCTCCACTCTCAGACCAGAATCCTGGAACTCCCTCAAAACCAGTGACAAGAAAGATGCTCGTGAAGTTCATCCACGGGAGAAGAACAATGATGATGCAAATAATCTCAACAGTAAAGCTGATTTCTCTGTTGATGTCCAGCAAAGGGCAAAACATAGACCGGTGTCTGCTATTTTTCTGGAATCATTACGAGATCAAAAGCATCACGCTGTGGAAGCTTCCGAGGAAAAATCTCCTGTGGAGAAATCTGGGGTTAGAAAACCAAGACCTTTGTCCATGGACCTGACAGCTAAATTTGAGCATAAAGATCTTTCTTCTTGCAAGAAGGCTGGTTCATCCCACGAAAGCAAGGAGAATGTATCTGTAATTGCTTTTACTGATGTGGGTAGTCATGATCAGTCTGAAACGGGGCCAAAACATGAAGAAACTGAATTGAATAAAAGCAATTCTTCTAAAACAAATCTGAAATGCAGTAGTCAGGACATTGGCATCCTAAATAATGGGAAATACACCTGGGAAACCAAACTTAAATCTAAAAATGAACAAATTGAGACAAAACCAGAAATAATTATTAACTTGCAGGGTCCTGAGAGAAGCCCTGAAACAACCAGTGAAAGCAGAACTAACAAGGGGGGGGAAAGAGCAGATCAGAAGGAAACTTACACGTTCCTGGGCTGTGAAAGTCCTGCAGCTTCCTCAGAAAAAGAGAATAATATTTTTAGAGGTAGTGTTAAAAAACACATTAGTTTGTTTACTTTGGAAAATCCCAGTGCCACAGTGGATACAGAGATTCTCCCAGCTGCTGCTGAGAAGGAAAACAGGTGTGTGACCATCCAGCAGAGGATCAAGGAGCTGACAACAGAAAATCCTGAGGTTAAGGGAGGAAATCTGCGCCGGTCCCTGCAGTCACGGCCACTCTCTGCAGACTTAACCAAGATGTAGGTTACAGAGAAATTCTCTTTAATCCTCTTGGCTTCATGTTGTTCAGTACTTGCTCTCTCAGTCCAGTAAAAAAAGCTTGATCATTTTGCTTCCACTTAATGTGATTTTTTTTTAGTATTTTTCTTAAGCTCCTTTCCTGCCTTTTTTAATGGGAACGAGAGAAAATTAAATATATTCTGACAACAGCTGAAAAAAATGAAGCTATCAATATTGTGACCTTTGCACGTAAATGTAACTGTCAGTGAGAGATATTACAGCTTGTTATGCATATCTAAATCCTCTATTAATTAAGATGCATAATTAACAATATTATTTATAGTAACAATAACTAATATTGTCATATTAATATTAATAATTACTGTATTAATATTTTGGAAATTCCTTTGGTCTAGATACAATTTAACCACCAAATACAGTAATTTACTATGAAATAGTGATATTTCTCCTTTAGGGAATGTAATTTGATGGATAATTTCTACCAGCCTGCTTTGGTAGGAAGCCACCCTGCTCACTGACCAGCTGGACTAAAGAAATAACACCAGTTTTTTTTGTTTTAGGTTTTCAAGTCCAACATCAGGGGGTGAAGCAAAGCCTGAGAAACCTGGGGAGGCTGGAGCTGACTCGATCCACGACCTGCAGGAAAATCCAAAAGTAAGGAACTGGCAGCAGCTGGAGGCTCCAGCTGGCTCTGCAAGGTCCTGGTGTGTGTGGCTTTATCAATCAGTGATTTTTAATGGGTGTGGAGATTATTAGGGCTGACACAACCCCAGTGGATCTGCTGGTGTGAGTTTGTCTTTGGGATGTGCGGAGAAGAGTTCAGGAGTGTTGTGTCAGCTGAGGTTGTCAAGCTCTGTGTGCACACTGTTCAGTGTAGGAGTGGTAGAGAGGGAAGAATATTTTGTGCTCTGTTTTTAAGGGATTTCTGATGCATCAAACCCCAGTGAACTGCCTGTGGCTGTGGTGGGTTTGTGCAGTGATTATTCTTTATTTTCTCCAAGCACAGCATTCAGATTGTGCTTTCCTGCATCCATTTCTCAGCTCCTGATAAATCTCGGCCTGGACCTTGGTCGGTCTCCTCAACATCATTTACCTGAGCAGTTTAGACAACAAAGTGTTCCAGGGAAAATGGGGATTTGCTGTGGAAGCTTTAGGCTCTGTCTGTTTCTAAGCAACATTTCAGTGTTGCAAAACAGAACTTCTCTGGTGACAGTGCTTCATAGAGGAGATTTAATGTAGTTTAAGGGTGTTTGTAGTGAGCTCTTATGGCTTTTTTCCTGTCCAAGATAGGAATATGTGGTAAGGAAAAGCTACAGGTACAAAGTTTCTGTAGTTCAGTGTTATTTTCAAGGAGAGCAATTTGTTTTAAAAGGAAAATCTTTCATTAATGGAAGTGCTGTTTTCAGAATGTGACAATAAAATAGGATTAAAGAAATTAGTTGAAGAATATAGCTCAGACCTTAAAATCTCCATTTATAAATGGAGATTACCTTTAGTGTTAATTTTCTGATGTTCTTTAGCTTTTTTGAAAGACAATCTTAAGTCAACTCTGAGTTTTAAATTTTAAAACCTGAATAAAATATTGAACTCCTATAAGACCTCTAGTATTCTGATTCCCTTTATTATTTGCATGCTGTGCTTTTTCAGCAAGTGCCATTAAAAATACCACCTTTAGGATGCTGCTTGTATTTCCTGTAAGTAGATCATAGTGAAGCATTGGTAATAAATATTAATTTCCATCTTTCCTTTCTTACTTCGGCTCAGCTTAATATTTCTCATAGCTGAGCAGCTCCAGCTGTGATATTTACTCAGATCTTCGTGTTCCTTGAAGTTTGACCATGTAACTGGCTATTAAAGAGATAATTCTGTTAAAATCAAGATTCAGGAGCTGGAGCTACACATTCCCTTAGGTTACCTTGGTCTCAGTGGAGTTCGTGTTCAGGGAATGTGGATGTCTTTGACTTGTACAGGCTCTGTTGCACAAAGTAGGTGCAAATAAGTTTTAAAATAAATGTTATTGGACATTTTTAAAAGAAACTCAAGATAACTGTTGGATTTTATTGTTCCAGAGCAAGGAGCTGAAGCTCACCCATGGCACAGATGTCACTGAGGCATTTTCTCCTGGGAAGCCTTGGAAATCCCGGCAGGTTTTAAAGATAACCAATAAACCTGATCAGGTGGAGAGGAAAGGCAGCTTCCTTGGAGATGGTCAACATTTCTCACAGCAGAGTGAGAGTTCTGTCTCATTCACGAGCAACTTTGAAAAGAAATTAAACCCAGCTCTTCTGGAAAAGCCCTTCATTAAAACTGTGCGGGCCACCGTGTTTGAGCACAATGTGCAGAAGCACAACGTTGTTGCTGAGCATTGTGGAGCTGATCCTGCACCAAAAAGGACCCAGGAGCCTGAGGCAAAGCAGGACCTGGTGGTTTCAGGGCACAGCAGACGCTCGTGGATGGGAGAAGGGGAGGAAAGAACCACTGCAAAGGAGCATCACAAGCCTGATCCATCAAAACATCCAGCACATGTAGAGAAAAGTCCAAAACCAGCTCCTTCAAGTGAAGACAAGAAAATGAGTCCAGGAGTTGTCTTAGAAAAATCTTTGGTTGAGAAGAGTGAAAAACCCACTCCCAAAAATGTAGAAGATTCTCAAATTTACCAAAGAATAGAGCCCAGGTATGAAATCTTTCAGACTTGTGGTGAGAGGGCTCTTAGTGAAGCCATCGCAATGGCTCCTGAGAAAAAGGCCATGACACTCAGAACTAGAAAATCATCTGTGAAAGAGAATAAAACTGATGAGGATGTTGTACCTACAGGGCAGTCAGTTAAGACAAGTAGTCACACTCTTTACTTGAAAGAAGATAATGTTACTTCAGAAGCCAGAGAGGCAAAAGTTCTCACAAGCAAGGCTGCGTTGAGAGAACCTGCTGGTTTTCTCTCCAGTGAATGCACTTTACCTGAACAGAAAAGAGACTCTGATAAAACTGATCCTGAGCCACTGTTCATAGCTGAGAAATCACCTTATTCCACAAACAAAAGTAAAGGTTTGGGAATGAGTGAAAAAGTCAGCAAGCTACATGCTGAAATTAAAGGTGATAAGAGTGAAGTGTCTTCTATAGAGAAATCAGAGAGGATTAATGTTGTGAAATGCTCTTCTGAGAAAAGGAGTTTCAGGGCAGGTGGGACAGACATCCATGAATTCCGAACCAACTTGGATCGTGAAGTGATTTCCACAAGTGTCCACAAACACGGGGCTCAGGCTTCAGTGCTTGCAAGTGGGCAGTATTTTAAATCCTCCAGTAGCCACCCCCCTGATACAAAAGGACTGAATGTTACTAAAGAGGAATCTGGGGCCTTTGGGTTGAGGAAAAGTCTGGAGTTAAACTGCAAAGAGCAAGACTTCAGCTTGGCTTGTACAGCTCCTGAAAACAACGAGAAACTCCGAGGAGCAGATCCAGAAGACAAAGTCAGGAGAAGCAAAAGTAGCGTTTCTGACTTGAAGATCTCTGAAAGGTGGAGGAGGAGGACCTTGCCTCAGGAGTCACTCAAGGTGGAAGAAGTTGTGTGGCTCACTCCTGAAAATATCAAGAAGCTGAGCCGGGCAGATTCATTGCAATTGAATGAAAATTTACTTAAAAAGAAAAGCAAAAATATCAAAGATGGCGTGGAGGGGAGTGAGGCTAACCAAGCTGTTCTTGGCAGTCCTGATGATTACATGAAACATCAGAGTTCTGTCTTTGAGCCAAAGGCAACTTATTTTGCAGTGACTTATCAGATTCCTGGTATCAAAAAAGAGAAAAGCTTTGTTGGTGCTCCCAGTGCAAGTGAAATTAATACGGTCTCTAGTTCAAGCGAGGCAGCAGCAATTAATCTGGACCCTGTTTTTCCTGGAAGGTCCAAACCTTTATTGCAGCAACCAAATAAAAATGTGACAAGTTCAACTTGTAGAGAAGACTCCTGGGAAGCACGTATGAGCAAGGATTGGGTCAAAGAAGATGAAAAAGATGCTGTTTCCTCCAAAGATGTTGCATTTGGTAATTTTCCTGCGTCTAGGAAAGATAATCAACAGCATCACGAAAAAGGTCTGGATCATTCTAAAGAGAAAATTATAGATGTTGATGCTTTCCTGTTAAAACATGATCTGGAAAGTGCAGCTCAAGCTGATCTCAAGAGTGGCAGAAGGAAAATCTCCTCTTACCACGAGCCCCGGTCCCCGCCGCGTTCCGCGCAGGTGCGTAAGGACAGTGAGCTGTGCCCCCAGAAAAGGAGTGACAATAATTCTGATCTGCCTGGAAGGAAAGCTGAGGATGGGTACAGATCCCAGATTCTCGATATTGATGCGCTTATGGCAGAATATAAAGAAGAATCGGCAAGGGCCAGTAAAGTTCAGGAGAAGCTTTCTGAAGATCTTGGCTCGCTGAGTAGGGAGAGATCAAAGAACAAAAGAAATGTGTCGGAGAGAATGACTCTTACCTACAGCTGGAATGAGTGGAAGAGTGGATCAGACCACTATTCAGTTAATAACAAACCAGGTGAACGTGCAGAAGAGCAGCACAGGCCAGAGAAACTAATCCTAAATGAAAAGAGCAAAGAGAAGCTGGAATTACGGAGCCCTGAATTTGATAAGCAGAAGTCCAAGGACAGAAAGGTCAGCCCTCCTTACTGGGGAAGCCCCAGCAGCATTTTTCCAGAGAAATTTGTAAATTCACCTGTGGAATTTGCTAGGAAGAAAACTTTCATTGTTGATGAGGACGAGGAAGTGAACTTGACCTCCAGAAATCAGGGTGCAAAATTTGTAATTGAAAAGGTGCAGCCCATAAATGCAGTGAGTACAGAGCAGAGGCTGGAAGTCAATCTGGCCTCCAAGTTGTCCCTGAAGGCTGATGATGGGGTCTTGCAGAAGAAGTTGGTGACAAAAGAACAGTTCCTGGAGGTGTCTCCAGAGGGCGATTGGAGCAAAAACATAGTGAGGAGCTCTACACTGAGAAGCAAAGACAGCTCAAATAAAATGGGTGAGGGAGACTCCTTCAAAAGTAAGAGTGATTGGAAGGGCTACATGTCTGGGTTTGGGACTGTCCCCGCGGATCTCAGGCGATCCTACTCGGAGAAATGCCGCCAAGGGAGGGACAGCCTGCCCCTCCTGCAGGAGATGAGGGCGAGGAAGGACCTGCATCGATCCCGGCCCAGCTTCCCCTTGGAAACTGTGGATAACTCGTGGAAACACAAGGTGTCAGCTCAGTCAGATCCATTCTTCCATGAGGATAAAAAGGTATTTTCAAATGGTAGCCAAGTGTGTCATATAACTGTAACTGAACTTTATTAAGATTTTGTGTCCTTGTAGCACTTCTCAGTGCTCTGCAGCAATGCAGCAGATTCATACTTTTCACTGGAATTAATTTCTTTTTGAGTTCTCTTTTCTTGAGCAATGGCCATTGCACTAGCTGACCTCATTTTTGCTTCAAGTCTAGAAATACTTACTGATGTTTTTGTGGAGAGCTTGAAAAAGCTTTAAAAAGTGTGGTTATTATTTTTGTGATGCTGTGAACCTGGGAATTTAAATTGTTAACTCTGCAATTTTATATTTACTTGAAAAGAAGTAATTTGGGTTTATTTTATGAGTTGTCAGCAGTGATCTTTTTGGACCTCTCTTTGTTTTCTGTCTTTATCTAAAGGAAGCAAATTTTATTTTTATTTTTACTGGGTGAATGGCCTTCATTTGTCTAAAACTCCACTGCTTTCCTGACCTGGGTGAAAGCAAGAGATTCCCTTCACACAGTGACATGTGAATGAAACCCAGAGGTTGGATTTGGTTGGAAAAGACCTTAATGGTCCTGTAATTCTGTGATTAAAGTGTAGGATGTTCATGGCTATCATGTTTTTCCATTTTGTGTTTTCAGCCTTGAGTTTCCTCCGGTTTTGGTTTTTTTTTTCCCAAAAGGCATTTTTAACATATATATCTATATAAAACATGTATATATGTATGTGCATATGCATGTGTATTTAATCACATTCATATCTGTATTTTACAGGCTCCCAGGAAAGAGTGGAGCAAGCAGAGCTCAGACAAAATAGAGGGAACAGACTTTTCCTCAGTGTCTACACAGAGGAGCCACCACAGTTTCTACAAGGAGAGAAGAGCAGATTTTGGGATGGTACGTGACCCTGGAGGAGGAGTTTGGGTGGGATCAGGGAGCTGCAGCTCTGTTTTCCTGTTTGCAAAGGGCAGTGCTGGAAGGATGTGTGTGCCAAGCAGAGAAGCATTTGCTGGGGGTTGAAGTGGTGAGGCTGCCCCTCCCTGGGATCCCACCCCAGTGCTCCCTGCCAAAGCTTCCAGCACTAAGCCTCAGCCTTGCAGCTTGTTCACTTTACTTTCTGAGTGAAGAATTTTCATCCTGAACTCAAGATGGCTCTAGAGCATTACAGTTTTTGTTGTCTTCTCAGCTTGTGCAGACAAATAGAGCTGTGTCCCAGCCTGAGAAATGTTGGGTTTAATTGTCTTTCTGTCAGCAACACACAGAGAAGTGTTTTTGGGAAAGATCACAGCTGACATTTTGGATGGTTTGATTTGTGTCTAACACACAAATTGTCGAGGTGAATTCCTGCTTGATGTTGTTGGGTGCTGTTCTCCTCAGTTTCAGAAGGATGTCCTGACTTTAGCCCTCAAAAAAATTTTATGTAGTGAAATAGCATCCTACATCCAGCTGTTGTTCTGAACTACGAAACAAAGTCTGGATGTTCCAAAATATGTGTAATAAATGAAATATCAACGTTTCCTGAGGGAAATAAAGGGTTTGGAAAGTGGAGACTGAAGGATGTTGTCCCATGGACTGTCCCAAGGTCACAACTCCCCTGTCCTGTTTGTGCCAGCACACTCTGCAGTGAGGTGCTGCACTGCCCTGTTCTGTCATGGCTCACTCGGCTGTTTGCAGCTCTTTAGCAGAAAGCACACAAAAATATAAAAAAGTAAAAGAAATTCAGTATTTACTTCCCTTCTAGCAAAGAAAAAGAGAGCACCTAAACCTATAAGGATTTTATAAACAAGTTTCCTAATTGGAGTTCTGGAAATGGGCTCAGATTGTTCTTTAGTTCTAGTCTTTAAGCTTCATGGAAGGTATCCAAGGGCTGTTGTCCCTTTTTTCTTTCCCATTCTTAGCATGGTTCATCTTAAGGAATTTGGGTTATTGACAGAATGGGCATTTATCCAACCCCTAAAAGTTATGTGCCATCAGCTTATAGTGAAAATATGTAAAGGTGGTGTTGACCAGCTAGGAAATGTGGGACAGAAGGGCTGTTGGAAGTTGTGCTGGGGTAACTGAACTGTTCAGGTGCTGTATCAGATAAATACAGCTGCTGTTCTGCAACTTCTTTGTTGATTGGGAGGTTACTCAGAGTAATCCTTCAGCTTCACCAAGTGCAGCCTGAGACAAGAAGGGAAGGTGGGAAAGGGAGACTCAGCTCCATGAAAAGAGAATGCTGACCTGTGTGGAATTCAGTAGGATCCGAGTGCTTTGCTCCTTTGTGTTGCTTTGGAAAGGCTCCTGGGGTGTGATTGTTGAGCAGTGCCATGGGAGCCAAAGGGCAGCCTGCTCCTCCTGGGTGCAAAGTGTGAGTGAGTGCCTGGAACGGGCTTTGACTTGCATTTGGGAGGTGGAAAACTCACCACACTGATGTTTTTCCAAGTCTCACGGAGGTACTGCAGAAGGTTATGTAAAACCAAACTGTGTCTTCTGCACCAAGGCTATGTCTTTGTTTTCCTTGGAGAAAACAGAGATTTTGGGTGCGGAGTCACGGTTCCATCAGCGCGTTCCAACACTCCCCTCTGCTGGAGACACATCCGAGCTGTGTGAGGTGGACAGACACGAGGGGTCAGGAAAGAGCCACGGAGCCACAGTTAAATCACCTCTTTCCCAGAAATCCCAACGCAGTCTCTATTTCCCTTGGTGCAGCTGGAAAGAGGGTGAGATGGAAATGTGACATCGTGCTGCTGTTTGCTTTGAATGGTTTCTGGTTTATGTAGTTGGGAAGTTACTTGTTTTTTCCTGGTGGCTTAGTGACAAAATATGTTCTCCAGTCAGTCCATATTGCTGGTCAGTGAGGGTATATTGGTATTGTCCTAGTGAGACTGAGTGCTCAAAGTGACAAGCCTTGTTGGAGAATAAACTATTCCTTTTGATTCACATTCACCACTAAAGCAGTGAAGAACTGATATTGATACCCCTTTATATTTGCCAAACAAGTTTACAAGGATCAATTTGTTGTATTATTCCATGTATGTCTGTGATAGTAAACTGCTTGAATGGCATTTTCCAGGACAGCTGATGAGCTAGGTTCCTATGGATAAACACAATTTCAAATGGAATTAAGGTGCAGTAGTAAAATTTACCTCTGGAGAAGCCATTTCTTTGTGAGTATATTCTAGAGAATCTGCTTGCAATTAGGCTTTTAGAACATTACATAGGATGACTTTGAAATCATCCATTGCAAAATACAAGTGATAATATGGGATTGGTGTTTGAAATTGCAAAGGATGATACTTTGGAGATTTAACACTCATCTAGATCATATTGTTCAGCTATTTTAAATTTGTATTGATTAAAAAATAGAGTAATGCTTTTACAAAGATTCAAGCATCACTGCTGGACTGTCATCATCTGTGATTTTACTATGGCTGGTACTTCCCTCTCTTTTAGCCCTTCTGCAGCACAGAGTAGCTTTAAAAATAAAGCTTTGTGCTTTGGACAGCGAGAGGTTTCTCTCACTGACTCAGCTGCAAATCTCAGAGCCTGCAGCAGGCTCAGGGCCTTGGGCTCTTGTAGGATCTTTTCCTTTGGACCTGGAATGCAGGTGAAGGGACTGGTGTGAGCACTGAGCAATCAAACCCTCTCTGGGCTGGTACCTGTGGTTGGACGTGGCCTGTTTCCTGTCAGTGCCATTCCTGCACATCCAGGGGCAGCCACAGAGCTCGGGAGGTGTTTCCATAAATTGTGTGATGCCATCAGAGCTGACGCTCAGTCACAAGCCTGGATTCCTGATTGAGTCATCCAGACTGATAAGAGTGTTGGGAATGAAAACCTGAGGAATGTGTGCTGGGACTCATCCTCCAAATAAAGGAACTGCAGTTGTGCTGTGGGGCTGGAGGATCTGCACCTTCAGCTGCAGATGGAGCAGCTTTAGTGCAGCTTTGGGTTATAACCCAAACTTCTGCTTTGGGGAGTTAGAACAGAGCACTGCTACTACTAGAACTGGTGTAGGCAGGAGTTACTTTGAAGTCTCTCAACATATTATTTATTTATTTTATATTAAAGTCTGGGGTTTGGGTTTTTTTTTGTCTTTAGGGAGGAAAATCTCTCTAATGGTCTCCATAGAAAGATGCATTTATATGAGACTGAGATATGTGGGTGGAGAAGGATTTGTTGAAGAAAATCATGAGCTGACTCCTAAAATATCTTGGAAATGAAGTGCAAGGGAGAGAAGATAAATATTTTATAAACATGTGCAGATGAATTTATGGTTTGGCTTGTCACAGTTCACCAGTTGTTTTCAGTTCTGCCCATGACAGATCTGTCTCCTGCCCACTGAAAACCACACCTTCTCTTTTTCTGGATTGTTTAAAGTCTCTAATACTGGAGCTTTGTTCCTTTTGAAACCCATCTTGAGTTGTTCTGTTACCCCAAAAACTGATGCAACCTGGAAGAAAATCAAAATACTTTGGTTGAACTCTACAGGAATTCATAGGTGATGATTAGGAAGGTGGGAGGTAGTTTCCTTGAAGTACCAAAATTTCAAGGAGAGGAGGCTGCTGCAGCATCCTGGAAGCAGTTTTGTGTCACCTACACCTTGTCCCCCCATGGGAAGGGTGAGAGCTGGAGCAGTGCTGGGAGGGGACAGGCTGCAGGGGCTCTCCCTGGATGGGCTCCTGTCAGTAATCTTTCCTTTTCCTATCAAAAAAAGGATGTAAGTAAAAAAAAAAAAAAGCAGTGTTACAATTCTCATTTTTGCTCTTCACAAACCACCCACTGCTGATGTCCAACAACTCCACCACTCTCTATTTTAGACCCAGCCCAAGGAGGACGACCCGGGGGTGGGTAAAGCTCTGCCTGGGCTTTCTTCCTTTTTTGGCAGTTTTTCGTTCCCTGGGAACATTCCAGGGGTGTATAAAAAGCCACTTGGTTGTGTCTATTTCTTCCCGTTCACAAAAGACATTTTTATATTCAAAGAACATAAAAACAGCAGCTCCTCTTGTTACATGTGTGGGTTTTTGTCTTTCCTGTACATCACCCAAAACAAGGTCAGCGAGCGACCCCGCCGCTGTTGAGAGCATTTAATAACTGAGGGGTTTTAAAGCTTCCCTTTCCTTCTGGAGGGCCTTTACTGCAAAACCCAAAGTCCTGTCACTAATTCCAGCCTGACCCAGTCCAGATTACAGAGCTGGGAGCAGTGGGCTGCTCAATAACAAGTGGTTAAGTCACGTGCAGCTCAGCGGCTGCTCCTGAGGAGCCCCAGCTCCTGGTGGTGGTGGTGGTGGTGACGTGGGGCCAGACACACTCAGGACATTATTACATTATTCATGGTGCTTTTAATTGCTCCACTCTGCTTTTAACCGGTGCTGGAGGCCGGGAGAGCCGGGAGCTGCCTGCAAACAGGGATGGGTTGGCGTTGACTCGGAGCTGTGGAAAATGGAGTATTATTACTGTCCACGTCTGCTGAAGTTCCTGCAGTATCTGTGGGTAAGTGTGCTCTGGAATGTCTGTGTGCTCCCAGAGCTGGCTGTTTCCACTCTTTTGCAGAAATCCTGCTGAAGCTTTCATCAGCAGTTCCTTTTGGAGTAGTAACGTGAAACTCATGGTTTATTTTGGGTGAGAAAGGCTCTTTTATCTCTAATACATAAAACTGTAGACTACCCGAATGTGCCTTGGAAAATCCTTCCAGGAATCGACGTTTCTTCCTTGTTTATGCAGAACCCTGGGAGTTGTGGTTTAGTTCAGTGTGTGTTAGGAATATTTTTCCCTGTTTGTGTAAAAGCTCTGCCTGGCTCTGGGGTTGCTGCCCCAGAACCCTCCTGCCCTGCTGCTGGTACAGCCCCTGCTATTCCAGGAAAACAGCCGTGCTCATGGCTTTAGGAGTGTGTCATTTTACAGTTCCTTACTTGTTT